ACTAAAACTGACAGGAAGGTAACTCTGGGCAACGATCAATACGACAGCGAGTCTCTGTTGCCCCCTGTGTTGTTGGAGGACACTGAAGAGGTCTTTTATGGACCAAACTGGAGGCTGACTAGTTGTACTGTATGAGTTTGTTGTTCCTCTTTATTTTATGCAAGAGAGCAGCTGTGAGCTGCAGGGTTTAACTTTGTGTTCAAATTGAACAGCCTGGAGGATATAGACAAACATATTCACATTGTTTGAGGTCAAAAGACTGGAAAATGAACAAGTTTGTTCTTTTGCTGGTATCACCAGATCTCTAATACTCTGCACCTATTTAGTAGTAATGGGAGTTATCCACCCACCTACACATAATGCGTCTGCCAGTTCACATTGGTGCCCTCCCATCCATGTCCACACGCTCATGCACACACAGACAAACACGTAATCATACAGCACATGAGAACAGAGCGGCCAGATATAGCAATAATAAGCTCATGCTGTGGCCTGATGTGTTAGCTGTGTTGGCAGTTTTCTGCTACACCACTGAGATGCTTCATGCTGCAAACAGCAAGAAGCATCTCAGCCAGGACAAACATTGGTTTATACACTCTGTTATTCTCATTTCAGCATTCTCGTCATCAGACATTTTCGAGCCCAACGATTTGGAGGATCAATAAGTCGCGATAAAGCTCAACAATGGTTTTACCAGCATTTGGAAATCATGATAAGGTAACTCTGACCTCTATTGGATTAACTATAAAGTGCTGAATCTGCCAGATGATTTTCAGTGGAAATAAAAAGCAATTTAGAACAGCAGCTTCCAAAGTCGGGGGTTGGGATCCCCTGAGGGGGTTTGCAAGAAATTGAGCGGGGTTCATGAACAAACAGAAATGCATATTTTGGCAATAATTGTTAGACAAGATAAAACACCTGTTAGTCTGCTGCTTCTAGATACTCAATACTACAGTTCATACATGGAGATTACTATGACTGATGTTCTCTGCTACAAGCCTATAATAAATGACTACAAAACAATACTATGGATATTAGACTGTTGTGTTCTTTTGTGGTGTCCTAATACTTGTGTTTGGATAGGCCTGTAAGTCATTTCAGCCACCTCTGAGGACAGTGGGGATCACGAGTCTCTGGTAGCAATATATTGGGGTCGAGGGCTAAAAACTTTGGGAGCCCCTGGTCCCAAAATACAAAACTGTCCAAATAAACATGCTTTCAAAAGTCCACGACACCACAAAAATCATTGCACAAACAATACATAACGTTTTAGGGATAAAACATGCCAAAACAAATGTCTGACCTTTTAACAAAACAGGTCAGAAGTTGTTCTGTTGGCTGTCAGTGGGTTTTGCAATCCGACTTTCAGAATACTAAAATCAAATGAGTCCACAAAGAATACACATTTGTGGGTTTGTGGAGTAACATGAATACAATATAACTGTTAATGAGTCCAGGGCCTGTGTTGAATAATAATCCTCCTTTCTCTTCTTTTTGAATCTCTATGTGAAACTTTCAAACAAACCAAGACAATGCTGCTGGAAAAAATAACAGATATTGATCAAATATTATCTCTATTTTGCAATACTTTGCATTTGGAAACACGAAAACTCTGCAGAAGTTTCGAAATTCCTCATCTAAGCACTATGGCAGCATTAGGTACAGTTACACACAGTGGTTTAATTCTGCTCACAAGCCGACACTAAAACAATATCATCCAGTAATTTATGGATACAGTATTCTCAGGTATTTTACAAGCCATATTATGACTTTCAATTTGCAGTATTATGATATTTGGGAGCAATATATGGGATAAACCTCCAGGCCCAAGGAAATTATTACCAGTAGACTAAAGTGTTGGTCTTAAAAAGCTAAAGAGCTTATGGTCCCGTCTCACAGAGGCCATGTTTGAAAGCAGAGGCCACGGATTTAAACTTCCAATGACCCATTTTCTCTGTCAGCATTTTTTTGAAGTGGAGTAAATGGCAGCTTCTCTCTCTGTCAGCTGATCCGTCGATCCCAGCGGGGAACCAAGACTTTTCTTTGACATTTACGGTTTACATCCGTTTCTGGTTGGTGGGATTCCTTCATCTTATGTCTTTAAACCAAACCAACCAAGCAGGGTTAAAGACTGACGATATCTTAGTACAGCTTCGTACAATACCTCATTTATCGAGGATAGTTTCAAATTTCTGGAGAAAGTAATCTTGAATATAATTATCTTCATATATTTTCATTGTGGAGTATTAGGTTGACTTTTTATTGATTAAGTAGTTGGGTCTATAAATTGTCATAAAATGGCAAAAAATGTTTTATGAGTGTTTCCGAAAGCTCAAGATGATGTTCTCAAATGTCTTGTTTTGTCCACGACTCAAATAAATTCAGTTTACTGTCATTGAGGAGAAAACAAATGAATAAATATTCATGTTTAAGAAGCAGGAATCTGAGAATTTGGGATTTTTCTTCTTTAAAAAAAATTCTGATCGACTCTCGAAATAGTTGTCGAATAACAATTAGATAATGTTAAAATCGTTTAAGTGTTGAAGCTCTAAATTTACTTGTTTAGAAATGAAGAATAACCATATATGCTAACTTGCTACAGTATCTTGACAAATACGGATTTCTTTTTGTCTGCCTCCCACACATTCTGATGCTTTTTTTGTCCTAAAATATATGAGCAAGCGTTGCCATTTAATTCATTCTGTTCTCCTGCTTAATGACTTGTTAATGCAAAATGTTTTACACAAGAGCAGAGAAAGTTTTGACATCCCAAGTTGAGGGGATTATGCGAGTGGCAGAAGCTCACTTAAAAATGTGTGTAATTCAGTGCTACTGCCTTGAACATCGGTGTGCTGTACATGACGGCTGGCTAAATGTCTGTGTTCTCATTATAAATCATTGTAAAGCTCCACTGTCCTGACACGAGGTCAGGCCATTCCATGCAAATCTTGGTCTGATACTAAGTAGGCACTGCAGGGTCTTGCTCTCCTGAATATTGTCAGTCTGTATCTGCTGCTGAGGGGAAGAAAGGCTGTTTAGCCCCGTCAGCACAGAAGCTCTTGTCCTGTATCCCTCCCAAGGTGACTTCTCTGCTGTTGGCAGGCAGAGCCATGAAAACAGCTCCCCAGACTCTCTCTCTCCCTGCTTCTCCCACACAGCCGTCATCTTTCAGATACCGCTGGGTAATGTGCTTTCATACCTTTTCTTTTTTTTCCTCTTACAAAGATGTCAAAGCATGATTTTTTGTCTTTTTTTTTTTTTCTTTCTTTCTCACTCCTTCCTCCTTACCTAATTTCCATAATTGCAGGTAGGAAAATGTAAGCAAAGACAGAAAAGAGATGCTTGTGTTCGTTAAAATTCTCTTCGATGCCTTTAAGCCTCGTCTACAGTCAGGTTTGGGCTGTGGCTCGGTGCCAACACATGAGCACCTGACCTTTTCCTCTTCCAGTTCTCACAGTGGAGAGCGTCCACCTACGCAGCAGCACACGTACCTCCCACACAATCTCGCTCTCTCACACTCATGCAGAAAAAGAAAAAAAAAAATTGGACTTGGAAAGCGACTGTCTGTGAATGTGTGTGGTTTAGTGTCAGTGATTGCTGCCTGGAAATACAAACTTCCCCGCTTTCTATTAACAGAACTTTTGGGTGGAACTTGCAGGTGTGTGACCATAAGTGTGAGCAAATAGGCCATTGTCCTGTGTCGACAGTAGGTCATCTATTTTGGTCCAGGTTAATTCTCTACATGGGAGTAGGTGTGCTAATTTCCTCTTTCTCTGTCTCTTCCGGTCTCTCTCTCTCTCTCTCTCTCTCTCTCTTTCTCCCTCTCTGTTAATTGATTAAGAGGATTCAACTGGCTGGTGCACAGACGGCGACCACCAACACACACTTGGGCGGGATGTAAACACTCACCTCACTTTAAGATCAGCTTGAGACTGCTAATACATGCACACAAACACATTTGCTGTTTTCACTTAACTGGACCCTGCATTGACTTTTATCTATTCCCAAATGAAACACCCTAACTTTGACCATATTGCTATATGCCTAACCCCAACACTTGGCCTTACATTAACCAAAAACCAGCCCTTAACCCTAAAATCTAGTGGTTTCCCTTCCCTAATGTGGCTTGAATCCCACTAATGTGACTGTTTGAACAGCTTCTGTACATTTACTTTACATCTATTCATGAGGTTTTTGTCCAAGTTGTTGTACGAATGAGGTATAGTCCAAGCCACAGTAGATCAGGGGGAAGCCACAATTTCACTGAAACACACTGACGCCACAAAAAATTAAATAAAAAAACGATGTTGTGCTTTTCTGCAAAGTGCTTGTAAGTTCACTGTATGCCACAATTTCCACATGGCAAAGGGGATTTTTCTGCCAATTGCTATAATAAATCACTTTCTGTCAAGCTACAGGGCTTCAGGTTGGAAGTTTTACTCCTGCAGCTGCTAGCAAACACCTGATTATTAGTTCTCACATACTTAAAGAAAGAAATGAACCAAACACAACCCAACCAGCACCATTATCACCAATACTACAGCAACCCAACATGTACGACAACCGACAAGCAGTACAGCACCGGCTTTATCGTCAGATGCCGGGCCTGATGTTGAATTTCTTCTTTCTAAAGTCTTTTTGGATAAAGTTTTACATTGCGCAGATTAAAAAAAACAAATAACTTCCTCCTGTCCACAATGAATTGTTGCCAGCTGGTAACACACTGCAGATTTTTAGAATGCAACTGATTTTGGTCTTATCATAGCCAGACTGCATTACTACAACACAGGACAATTATAGAAACACACATTCCCAGGCAGCAACATCCTAACAGCCAGGCTCTGCACAGGAACTCCTCACAAACTCATCTTCACTCATCCACTGACAGAAAATACACACATGAGAATAAAGCTGTTAAATAACCTTGACACACTCCCCCCCTAACAGCAGGATCACTGGTGACATCCTGAAAGTTGTTTGCCATCCAGAGCAGGTCTTACCTTTGTGACAGTCATGCAGAATCAGTGGGTGAGGAGCAGGCCAGTGTCCCCTTCAAGCAAAGAGCAATGCCGCAGGAGTGGCAAAGTGATGAGGAGGAGAGGAGGGCAGCTCTGCTGAATATGCAGAGAGAGGGAGAGAGAGAGAGAGAAAAGAGGAGGGGACAGACAGGTTAGTGTGTCTGGCTCACTAAGTACGAAGGGGCTGATTGCTGCTGCAGTGAAGTAATGGCTGGCAGTCGGCGTGCGGTTGGTTACTACAACAGGGAAAAGCTCCCCGCTAGGATACACCCCTCCCTCCTCCCTCACCAGCTGCACACACACAAACACAGAGTGATGATGCGCTCAAACACCGGCTGCCCTACTCTCTCTCTCTCTCTCTCGCTGTCTCGCGCAATATGATTAGAGGACGGCTAATACAGCTTATTGATGAGCAGTCAGGCAGGCAGGGCTGCAGGAGGAGGCGGAAGCAGCGCTGCCTGCCTGGGACAGGAGAGGACTGCAGAAACAGAGGGAGGGAGGGAGGGAGGGAGAGAGGGAGGGAGGGAGTTGGACGCTGTGTCGCAGTCTGCTACTCAGGCTTGGAGCTAGCTGCACGTCATCTGGTGTGCATGAATGTGAGTCTGTGGAGGTGAGTGACAGGCGTTCATGAGGAGAGCTTTCTAGATTTTTGCACCAAGTTCAAACTACATGAAGTCGAGTAATTTCCATATTTGAAACCAATGAAGAGACCGAAATGCATTAGTTGTTAAGCCACGCTCATGAGGACACTCTTTGGTTTTGTTTATATACCTAACTTTTAACTAAATCTGACATGTAACCTTTAACCTAACCTTCTACTTAGACCTCAATAAAAATTCAATATTAATGCTGAACAACTTTCAGTAGAACCAAACTATAATGATGTGGTTTTGCTGTATTATTTTTATTTTTTTTACCAAAGTGTGTTGTTTAAATGTAGAAAATTGGAATCAAAAACAAATTACATGTATGATGTCTGAGAGGAACACGACTGATGATCAGTTTGATTTGATTTTGCATACTGTTACATACTTACTCCTTTAAGCAGTTGGTACACTCCAGACTTCAGCCGAACAATTAACAAATTTCAAATTAAAGTCAACAAGCAAACTGTAAAGTCTACAATTTAGTTAGGTATATTAAACATTGAGACTGATGTTGTGATTCAAATGTATTCAACTTGTGCAGATTGAAACTTTCAGGGGTTGTGCTCATGTGCCAGATGTTTAACAGATAGTTCAGACTTGCACACTGACAAAAGCCTCGTCCTGTCATCTAGTAGCCAAATAACTCTTAGACTCTGCAGCGTTTCTGACTCAGAGTTTCAAGAATTGTGTCAGTGGTTTTACAAATTCATGCCCTCCTCCTTGTGGGCAAGTCACACTTCATGGTATCCTTGACAGTCATGCTCTCTCATACACAATCTACACTGAACTAAAGCCTGACTTTAAAAATTACATCCCAAATCAAACTGCAGTATGAATCAGAAACATCACGATTAGATGTTTTACCAAATTGCTCAGATCGCCCTGAAGCTTGATATTCATGCAAAATGTAACTGTACACTTGGGCCCCAACTCTTGACCTTCTACTTCCAAATTTAAATGTGGGTCTAAGTTGTACACGTAGATTAATCTCTTACAGAAATCAGAGATGGTATGAGATGAGATGGTATCTTAATTTTGGAGCATTTTTTTTCTGTTTTGTTTTCCTCATTAGGACACGAGCGTAGTAGCACAAAGGCCTCCGCCCACACTCACAGTGTAACACATCTTCGTCATACTAATTGTCTAAACAGAGGGATGGCCAAGATTCCAACTCAGTTACCATGGCTTAACTTCCCACAGCGGAGTGAGACTCTTCTCCAGTGGCTGCGACCCACAATACTAGCTTTGTTTTTGGATCTACACGTTACTATTTGTGTGTGTACTGCAAGTGTCTGTACATGCTGGAGTAAAGGTCAATAAGACAAAGAGAGTCCAGACTGAATGATATCACAGAAACTGTCAGTTGCACGATGGAAATTTTGATTTTCTGTCTTATTGTGGTTTTATCGTAGTCACGTATATTGATTCAGTGATCACTTCGCTTCACAATCTCAGCCTTTAGGAGTGATATCTGAGGCCCCTCTCTTCGCCTTTCCTGCCTGGAACAATAGCATTTCCTGTGTCTGTGTTCATGTTGTTGGTCGGTATGAAGAGGAACTTTAAAATCGTTGACAAAATATCTGGAATACTGTAACACTGTCAATAAAGTCTGGACAAGGTAGAAAGCAGCTCTCCATTAATAATCATGACTACAATATCATCATTTCAGAAACACATACTATGAGGGCTTCATGTTTTTGTGTCCTAAAATATATAAATAACCAAGCTTTGAATTACCATTTTCATTTCAGCCTGATGAAGTTTGACTTTTGAGTCCACTTAAATCAACAGAACATAAGTTTTGTTAGTCATTTCTATAACCATGACTATGACCTAGTGTGAAACTTGCATGTTGTGCCATAGCACTGACTCACTTGCATTTAATTCTGTGTGATCTTGGAAGTCTTTCCAATTTGCACCACAAATAAGGTGTGGGAGGAAAAGACATCATCCGCTGGGTGGAGGTGACAAGTCTGAGGACCTGCAGACCTGAAGGAGCCACCAGGTCTCACTTGTTCCACCACATGTCTCCTTGAATCTATTCAAGGACGCAGAGGAGAGACGAGAAAACAAGTGAGAAAAAAAAATCAAAGTGAAAATCAATATACACAGATGTCAACAACACAAACGCAATAATAAACAACGGTGGTCGCTGTCAGGCTGAACTGCACGCTTTCTTTCTGTTCCAGTGAATTATTCCAAGTCTGTTTGGCATTAGGAATTTCATTTCCTTGTTGTTTACTGTCTGACCCTGTGACAGCTTTATAGCCAGGAGGAATCCACCATATTTAACAGTTTGCTGCCATCTTGTGGTGAAGCCACATCATTACCATAAAGTGCTTTTGTTCAGACAGGGCATTGTCAAGCTATTTCTGTCCTTATTTTTTTCCAGACTAAACAATTTCTTAACAAGGCTGCCTAACTAAAAGGCTTAAATGATCTCCAGCTGGGTATTTTCCAGTTTTCCAGTATACTGTAAGTTTGTATTAAACAAAATTAAAAACCAAAGAAGAACCAAAATAGAGTACAAGTGGGATTTGAATAGAGAACAAATGTGGAAAAACTGTCATAATCCAATTCTTCCAAATCAAACAAAGGAAATGTATCTTCCATAGTAATCAATAGAAGTCAAACGTCAATTCATTCAGCTATCAGACATGAAGAAAATCCAACCTCTTCAGGATACTGTGACTTTCTATCACTCAGTTTTTCCGTCTTACTGGAATACCTGACGATAAAGTAAAGTGTATGTGCATTGAATATGATATTACGGTTCATTAGCATTCTTTTTTCCGCATATAAAATAATTATTAATGCAATATTAGAGCTTTCTCTGTCAAAATTCGTTCATATTTGTGCAAAATTAATATTATACAGCTAGCCTCTTTACCTCTTTATTCTAATATATATATATTGAAGGCCGTGTTTGTTGCGGACACGTTTAATCCCAAGGCTAACGTTAGCTTAGCATCTGTTTACGTGAAAGGTCATAGGTCAAAATGGGCTAAATTTGCCTTTAGAGAAGACGCATAGCTCGTTTGACGATATTTGCCGTTATTTTTAAATACATCTTTAGACTGCTCAAAAGCACATTTAGGAAATTTGGAGCACGAAAAAAGTACATAAATACAATTTTTTGTTTTACCGTTTTAACTCACTTCCTTAGCTGCGAGCAAATATGATGTCCGTATAAACTTACCGACCAGATGTGACGTATGTTACGCCGCTGACAAGTGCTTGGACTTGGAAACTTTTTTTGTTTTGTTTTGTTGTTTTTGCTCCAGAGAGTCTCCAAACAACCAGGAATTATTATTAAAATAGTGGTAAGTGTTATCAAACAACGTGTGTTATTGAAGTGCGTTTGCTTTGCGCAGTGAGTTAATCGTTTGCTAAACATTAGCGCAAAAGGCTCAAAATAATATTTACAAGAGAGACACAGACTATGGTTAAATATAACGTTTTTTTTCCTTCTACACTGTATTTTTTTTTCTTTCGCTAGCCTGCTAAACCACACAAGCTGGTCTCGTTTTAATATTAACCAAACTATCAACCTATAAGCGTTCACAATTGTAGCTAACAGTATTATATTGAAGTGGCGTCATTCATAATTAGCTTCTAATAATTAAAAAAAAAAAACGATACGACAGCATTTAATAAATAAGCATACTTAACAATATTTTTGTTTTATGTAACTGCACTGCCTCTACCGTCTTAGATGAAATGTTTCAAAGTTAGTCACTCAACCTTTTATAAACTGGCTTTTAAATGAGTTCCCCCTCAAAGATGACCAGGACTAGCAGTCCTCAAGACACAGGTGAAGTAGATTAGGCCTAATGCAGGCTTAGCCACAGGCTGAACTACTGGCCTCTGGTATCCCCTGTCCATATTTACAGATTTAAGAAGGTTCTTTCAAGCTGTCTCTCTGGCTCAGTTTGGCAAAACATTATCAACAGGAACTATAATGACTTTATCTATCTATCTATTCTCTTGAAGCACTCCGTAAAATATTTGTTAAATTCCTGACCCTTGTGTCTGCAGACTGTAACCGATTAGAGGGGTGTGTACTACTTTCTTTTCATAAGCTGGCTCAACAAAACCTAAAACCCTAATCAGGGATAATAGGAATCAGGATGGTGGTTCTCAGCTTTCTCTTTGTTAATCCACAGTTTCTTCACCAGACTGTGTGCGCTGCCATATAAGGAGCCATTTGATGTGTCACTGGACTCTTCTTCTGCATAAAATAGAGCGATTGCGTAAGTCAGGAAGAACAGGTAGCTGTAACAGAGAACTAGAACAAATATAGAAATGTATGATGATAAGCGACACTGTTACTGCAAATGATGCAAGAGAGTAATGCTGGTAGAAGATTGTTAATCATGTAAGGTAATATTTTTATTTGACGTGACAGCTGCGCATTAGAGCTCTGAAACTTTAACCCTCATAAATTTAAGCATGATACTCGGGGAAGTGCATTTAGGTGTGCCACTTACCCATAATAAAGAATACATGTAAATTACTTTAGCTTTTGGCCACATCAAATTGGAAATGAATGTCACTGATTAAAGATTCTCTGTGATAACGACCAAAAGGCTAATCAATGTTCTAGTCTGTGCTCTATTAGCTGCAGACTTAGCAGTGTAAAATAGAGTTAGGACATAGCATAAAAACATTTTTATGCATTTTTTACATCACGAACTGAGTGCATGCAGATTCCCGTGGTAACATGACGCAAACAGTTTGGGCTACTGTAACTACAAATCTTGATTTAATTGCGTTCCTAAGTTATGGCTGCAGGTTTGCAGACGTAACGTAATCCCTCAACTTAGGATGTGTATCGCTCAGAGAGAATATAACCAGAAAAAGAATTGGTGAAAAGATGGTGCTTCTTATAACTGATTTAAATCCCAAACTCTGAACAGAGGCTCCTCGAGTGTGCAGCATAAGTTGGTATGATGATCTTGCAGGTTAAAAGAGAGCCACCTATGTGACATTAAAAACTCTAGATTCAACACACGACTAACTGGTAGCAATAAGAGCTGCAGTTGCATCTCTACAAACCCCAACGTCTGCCAGGAGACCTCACACTGTCGAATGAATTAGTACATGATTGTTATTCCTGTTGATGCACGTCTGAGGACTCCCTGATGATTTATTCTCAGACAGTGTTGTTCTTTAGACGTTTTTCTGTCGATCCTTTCGGCAGATAAGTGTTAAAAAAAGACAACACACAATGACGTGATGTGCAAATCAATGTGCCACTGACTCAAGCCGACTGCCTCTCACAGAAAATCAGCAAGGATGTGCAGACCACAAGAAAATACCAAAAACTCACCTAGGGACCCCCGCTGTTTGGCCCCACTGCTGACTCACCATTCAGAACCCGCAATAAAATAACAGTCAATGGGATGACTAATGTTGCAGACCAAAGGCTGCTGGCAGAGGCAGTTTAAAAACTGCAATGTAAAAACAATTTTATGCCTCATGTAAAGCTGACGCAGTGGGTTGAAATGTTCCATCAGACACTGATCCGCACCATTAGCTGCTAATAACACAAACAAAAACTTACTGTGGCTAATTTGTTCTTTATCTGTCACGAGGCATGTGTAGGCTGCTGTTTTTTATTTATTTATTTTTTAATCGAGAATCAATGAATTCTCTCAACAGCTGCCTTTGTGGGGCCACAAATCTTATTAAACATGTAATAAGTAGTGACAACTTCCATGACAAACACTTCAAACCCTGCAGTAAATTAAAACACAGGATAATACAGTTTGTCCTGTATATCTACAGGTGGTGCTGTGTCTGTTTCTGTGTCCTCAAACATTCACCCACATACATGCTGTGTAACTATTTTCTGTGTTTTTTCCTGCTTTGCTGGCCAGCTGACAGCAGAGGGAGAGAGAGAGATAAGAATGACGCAAGAGACAGAAGATGACGATATGCAACGAAGGTATGTGGTCAGATTTTTATTCAGATCTACAGTGGACAGCGTGCACCAAAACCAGCCGAACCACCAGAGTGACCAAGTTCTTATTTTTAGTAATGAGCAATTCCCCCATTACCCCAGCTCTTTCTCTCTTTCTGTCTCCTTTGTACCCTGACTGAGTCCCCCCCACCCCCCACCCGCCTTTGGATCCTCTAACACTAGCCCACCGCATGATTTCCCCTCACAGAAATTGTTGCTCTAGTGGAACATTTAATGCACAGGGGCTCGAATTTCGGCTTCCCCAGTGCACAGCGCAGTGTTCCAGCCAGCCACAGTCTGCACACAAACCACTTCCTCTATCTGAGACAAAGTGAAGAAGAAGAAGAAGAAGAAGAAGAAGAAGAGGGGAGGGCATGTGAAGGACCATGAAGAAATGTAGAGGCAAGCAGAGCAGCTGATAGAGATGCAAGTGAGAGTGGCTGAGGCTCAGATCAACAATTGCGGTGTAGAAGCACACACTGGAGATTTCCCACAAGTGTGTACCTCTGTTGTAGGTGATGCATAGCCTCACCACGAGCAGACAGTTCAGTCACTCCGCGTATTGCTCCAGTCTCGCCTTCTCTTTAAGTCATTTTCCACAGTTTTTTAATTCATCCAAGTCCCCTCGCCAGATACGTTTCCCTTCCCGGAGCCTCTCATTTGCTCTATTTTTTCACCTGCCGGTCATTGGGGCAGATTTACAGATTCCTCTAATGGAAAAAGCCCCCAATCCCTTCCAGCACTTCCTCGACCCTGATTCATGTCAGTGTCAGGGAGAGATGCTTCTTCTACTGTTATAATGTTGTTTTAATTTTTTAAAACATTGCATAACCTCTTTCCCCAATCTCGAAATGACCTTGGTCACCCTGTTGTTGAGTTATAGGTGGTTAGATTTATAAAGTCAATAAATGGTGCAATTGAGATGCTTTATGGAATGAGATTCAATCAGTGATTTAAGGGTTTAGTGTTGCTCCCTTTTGGAAAAAGACCCAAACTGAGTCACCAGACACACATGGATAGTCTTTCTTTCTTTCTTTTGCTCTCTTTGTCATTGTGTATCTGTCTCCCCTCACATACACATTCACCACACATAGAGTCTGGAAAACAACACGCTCACATTAAGTCAATGACAGCAGTA